TTGTGGTCACCTTATCAGTGATGTGTGACGACAGCCAATCCCTTACTAAACATACACACACACACACACACACACACATACACACACACACACACACATTTGACCTTTGACGCCCATCGCTGGAGGTGATGATAGCAATGCTACGGCAGAAGCCATAGCAACTTGTGCTGGAATTGCACCATTCAACAGCTTGCAAGGCTGAAGAATTGACCGTCACTATTCAGCCTGTTCTACACGATACAGCTATTTTGAAGAGACTTTTTCTGGCCAGTGAATCCCTATTTTTGGGATTTTTAATTTTTTTTCCCGCACACACATCACACCACATACTCCGGCATGCACGGGCTGTTGGTAACCACCCAGGAGAATGAAAGAAAAGCCAGGAAAAGTCTGAGAAAGAGAAGTGTGACCATCATCCACACACACATACACACACACACGCACGCACACACGCACACACACACACACACACACACACACACACACACACACACACACACTTGTACTTGCTCACTGCCAAAAATGGTCACGTGGGTCTCCCCGGGAGAGGGGAGAGAGACCCAAAAGGAATCTTGGAAAGATGACTCAATTGGCCATTGAACCACCCAATGGCCGACACCCCCTGAAATCCCCAAACTAGGGTGGACTTGAAATGATCCCACTTATGGGCTCACCACACCTCAGTAAGTGGGTGAGGACAAGGTGCAGAAAAAGGATTGACGGCATTAGGGTATCCGTCCCGGGATCCAACTGCAGGTACCCCTGCCCCCAGTGAAGGTAATACTTGGTACTAGTGTGGGTGGCTAAATCAGACACACACACACACACACACACACACACACACACACACACACACACACACACATGCATACACACACACTGCCACACACACACACACACATTCAATGACATTGACGCTACTCCTTTGAACCCTTGTCATGATATGAACTTTAAACGCACACAGCGACACCAAGCCCTCCAACTATCGACCGATATCACTGCTCAGTGTGACGTCAAAAGTGCAGGAGAGGATTGCTGCAGACTGGATTTCCACGCACATTCAGTCGAGGCTCACCTCCTCAGTGGCCTATCAGGCTTTCGACCCACGACCGCACCACTCAGCAAGTATCTCGTTTAATTCACCAAATTGCCCAAAAATGAGATGGTGGGCAAACGGCAAATACCTGGTCTTATCCGACCTGTCCAAAGCGTTTCACCAAGGGTGGCATAAAGGACTGCTCGTCTATGTTTGCATCTCCCTTCTTTGAACATGGAACCCGATCCATGTTGCTGCACCGGCTCAAATGGCAGAAAACGTTCGGTTCTAAAATTTATTATTATCCTTTTGGACTGGTGTGGATTGCACAGGTGCATGCACTACATTGAAGAGTTGCAGACGCTTCCAATTTGTTCTAGAAATTATACTTTGTCACAATCATTATCAGATTCGGATGGAGAGCCGAGGATCAAAATTAAAAAGAGAAGACCAAAGGTTTTAAGTTATCCGTTTTCGTCCAACACTAACATTGTAAAATCATGATACAGGCAAGTCAGAATGTGCTACAATCAGCACAGCCCGGACTGATGCGATACTGACATTCAACAACATGGCAATTACTTGTCCCAGCTTGTATTCTTAGTTCGCTGTGGTGTTTAGTATATTTTCGTTTTGAGTGCGCTCACCTTCCCTTTCTAACGTCTAACGTTAGATCCTAACTTGGAACCTTTCAAGTTGGAAGGCTGTTGGCTTGCGCATTCCACGACGTGATGGAGCTAAGCATCAGGTCGTTGAATGTCAGTAACTCGTCAGTCGGTGTTGTGTTAACTGTTTCGCGTTCTGACTCACCAGTGTCATGCTTATAATTGTCAGCACTCGGATGGTGAGCCAAGGAAAATACTAGATAGGAACAAGGGAAACGGCGGGGCACAAGTAATGCGTCAGAGTCCACCAACTAAACCAGATGTTGAACAGTCAGAACAGTCAGACATGTACAAGGTAGCACCATACTCACAAGGAGTACTGAAACATTCCACTGCAGGGAAGCGAGCTTAAAAGCACTGCTCGATAGCGTTCCCCAGCGGCCTTCCAACTTGGAAGGTTCATGGATATTAGTGATAATTCCAAAGAGGGGAAGGTAAGCGCCATCAAGTCGAACACTAGCTACGTTCCAAGGCACAGTGGAATGCTGGCTTGGTACGATAACGGGACGGTAAGACAATTGGACAATACAGTCTAACCACAATTCGACCCAACTTGAGAGGCTCGATTTTTCAAGAATAATATCCATGAACCTTCCGATTTGGAAGGCCTTTGAGTAGTGCTATCAAGCAGTGCTCATGCTGAACTTGCTGCCATGGAATATCTCAGTACTACTTGTCAGTCTGCTGCTACCTTGTGCATGTCTGACTGTTTAACACCTGGTTTAGTTGCTGGACTCTAACACGTAACTTGTGCCCCACCGCTTTCCTTGTTTCAATATTAGTATTGCTAGTGTTGGACAAAAACGGATACCTTGTAAACAATTGGTACTCTCTTTACAATTACATTCAATCACCAATTTACTTGGATGGAGAGCCAAGGAGAAATACATAGAAAAGGAAAATAGTAACTTAGAAACTTTTCAAGTTGGAAGGCTGTTGGAGTGCGCGTCCAAGACGTGCTAGAGCTGATAGCCAGTTAGTTGTAGAACGTCAGTACCGTCGGTCAGTGTCGTGCAATGTTATTGCATGAGCTGACTGTTTAGTAACTGGTGGTGTTAGTGGACATCACAGCGTATCTTGTAGTTCCTTGGTTCTTTGTCTTTTCAATAAAATTAATAATCATTTTTAGGTATACCAACAGATCTGAAATTTGCACTTGGTCCGGCTCATCGGAGTTGTCGCTTTTCTCGCACGCACTTTTTGACAGGTAAAACCCAGTCCAATCGCAATATCTAACTTACTTTTTCTTGGGAGTTTGTCATGGCAAGGTCAAAGGAGGCACCAAAGAAAAAAGATCGCAACTAGCGCTTTGAATCACGATGTGTTCGACTTTTTGGGAAGTGGGAATCTGGCCATTCACTGTCTGTGTTGCCAAAAGCCAAGTGCAGCGACCTACAGATCGGAACTGTAGCAGGGGCAACTGACATCCTGGCCTGAAGAGCGTGACAGGCACGTACGCACGGCAGAGGAGTATGAGCGTGATGCCGAAGAAGAAAGGTGTTTTTGATGCGATGCGAGGGACGTTTTGATTGTTCAGCGTATCCAGCGGAGCGCATGACAGCTGTCTGGAGAGGCCTGTATGCCTCATTCCAAGGCTTTGTTGAAACAAACTGTGGTGACACACAGGTCACACTGCCCACGGTTCCTTCAAGCACCGAAGTGACAGAGACGGCTGTTCCTTTTTCCATTGCTTCCTTACGACAGGCTGAGAAAGCAAGAGACAAGATACTCTTCACCAGCAGCTAGACACCTGCAAATGTCAGCTCAAGTAACGGCAGCTCTCTAGTGATGCAGAGTTGAATGAACTCAGGACCTGTAAAAGCGGGAGTGCAAGAACGCGCTTCCTGGCTGATTTATCATGTACATTTGCTTGTGACCTTGCTTCCCGGCCCTTCTTCTACGCGCTTCACCAGATTCCATTGCTGAAATTTTTTTCTTGTGACGGAGAGTATTCATGTATGATGTGCTTCCTCACTATTTCTACTGGAAATTTCACAGAGCGGTAACAAAACTCCTGTTCTTAGTGGTGATAGACAAGCGACAATTGCGATGAGCCGGACCAAGTAGAAACGTTCAACATAACATGAAATGAACTCGGATGGAGAGCCAAGGATTATTTTATAAAAAGTAAAAAGGACGAAAAAACTACCTCCTCCGCTAAGCAAAACTTCATTGCCTTTTTTGTGTTCTTGTCATGATCTTTCTGTTGGCATTAGACAAACATGTCAGTGATCTATCCCTTACATAGGATAGCCACGGTGTCGTCCATTGTTCTGAGAGGCTTTTGGACCACTGAAAAGCGTTGAGTCCTTCAAAAATCGGCGAAGCATAACCGTTTCTTGACAGGATGTCACCAGAACACAACTCTGGCGCATGACACCGAAGTGCGAAAATGAGAAACAGTTTGAAAGACCGCGTGGCTCGAAGAAGTGCCCAGAATTCATCCAGAAGCCGGCCAGCCACTACTGTACCAGCACGATGGTACGAGTCCGCACACAGCCAAAATAAACCAATGCACATGTGTTTGCGGCGCAGGGGAAAACAAAAAGGGCTCGTCATTCAGGCTGTTGTTCAGCCTGCGCAAAGTCCCGATTTCAACGTCGACAACTTGGCGTTCTTCCACAGCCCGAAGACAGACGTATCACTCGTGGCGAAGGAAAACAGAAAGGAGCTTCTGCAGGCTGTGGAAACGAGTACCCCTCTGCCAAGATGAGGAGCGTTTGGTTGTGTCCGTTTGGTTGTGTCCGTATGGCTCTTTCCATGGCGTTCTGGAGAGTCTGAGCGGCAGAGACAACAACTACCAGCGCAGCCGTGGAGGTCGTCAAGCTCACAGTTCGAGAGAATAACTTGGCGATCTCCACGATCAGATCGTGTCCCAGAAACTTGTAAAGGCTGTAGGACAAATGCTGGCAGCGCTGGAGGCAAAAGTCAGCAAGAATGCCGACTCGATGTCATCAAGGAGTGAGTCGTCATTAAATTCAGACGAAGAATGAAGCTGGACTGCTTTGAAACGAGCTGTGTGACATCTGTAAATAACTATCTCTCATTTGCTGCTTTGTTTTCCACTTTGCAAAGTGTTTTGGTAGCCATAGAAAGCTTTGAACTAAACTGTAAAAATGCAACGAAGTTTTGTTTAGCGGAGGAAGTACAAGTTGAGCGGATTGTTTAGTAACTGGTGGTGTTAGTGGACATTATAGTGTAACTTGTAGTTTCTTGGTGCTTTTTACTTTTTATAAGTAACATGAAATGGTATGATAAAGTGAAGCCAATAAACTGTTGTCAACGTAAAGAACGCTTACACACTCTGGTTTTCTGCTTAGTTCTTGTATTATATCCTATAAGCGAAACAGCACAGTGACACACAGGGGAGAACAAAGAACAAATAAAAACTCAGACATGTGCACATTGTGGTCACGTGATCAGTCAGGTATGACCGCAACCAGTTGGTTATGAAATTACTGACCTCACACAGTCTACCGCCATCATAATATCGGGCATCAATCCCCATTTGGTTTGCAAAGTAAAATAGAACTTCAAACAAATACAAAAATCACGCGCATATACGAACACATGGATGTGCGCGCCCTCGGACTTGACAGACACATGCACGCAAGCACATGCACACACGCATTCATACCGACACCTCCAAAACCAGGTCAGGGCCCTCTCTGTGCTTTGTTTTGCCTACAGTCTCTCCTTTCGTAGGTCGTCATGCATGTAATTCAAACTGATTGAAATGGCTTGGAAATACAGATATGGGATACATTGCTGCCTATTTTTGCCCGGTATTCTCATGTCAGCCTGGTCTTATTATTATGCCTGTGTGGATTCACAGGAAGTGGATAGCCACTCGCTTATTGAATGAATTATTGTGGCATTCGGTGCTGAATAATGTGTTTTTGTGTTGTTTTTGTTTTTACCTCAGCTGTAGTCCCATCCACTGATAGTCGATATTAGCACTATTAGCTGAATTCTTATCGCGCTGCTTCTCACACCGGCTCTTACCGACAGAGTAGTTGGCCTTTATCAATGCTGGTTTGAGAGCTTACACATCATTGTGAACCTGATGAAGGCAATTTGCCGAAACGTTTTAATATTGTGAAATGAGTTGAATTATTGCAGTGTTGATGGAAGAGAGCATGTGGGCTCTACTCGTAACTATTTATAAAACTTCAGGAAGCCTACCCACTCTTACTTAAAAATGAAGGAATCGCTGTTTGCCCATTTGTCTGTTTGTCTGTCTGCCTCCCTTTCCCCTCCTGTCTCTCTTTCTGCTTCTCTCTCATTTCCTATCCGGCCTCTGATCTCGTCCCTTGTCAACACACATATTCGCTACTTTATAATCCCTTTACTGTGCCCATGCCTCATTCAGCACAGCTAGCTGGACTGGGCTTATTTAGCACAGCTAGCTGGACTGGGTGTATTTAGCATAGCTAGCTGGACTGGGCTGGTTTAACACAGCTAGCTGGACTGGGCTGGTGCTTAGATATGTGTCATTCTTCAGCTGTCCCTTGGCACTTCTTTCATCATAGTGACTACCACACATGCAACAGAAGAATGCTAGCTCAGGACTCTTTGCTTTGGTTGTCCAGTAGCGACCTTTACTTTGATTGTCCAGCATCATGACCATTTTTTTCATGGGCGTCGGAAGGTATTCGACATTGGTGTGGCCCCATGAGTAGGTGGGGTCCGGGGGCCCTTGTTGATGTTTTGTTACATTGAAATGTCCCCCTTTTGACAATATAACATGATGCCTCTTTTTAGCTCTTTTTGAAAATCAGTATTATGATCATTTCCTGAAGATAGCCACAAGAAAACGTTTGAAATGAACTCAATGTAGTTCGGTGTCTGTGGATGACTGGGTTTACTATTTTTCTTATCTCTATTAAAAAATTGTATAAAAAGCCGAAAAAAGGTGTGAGAAGGTGGTAGCTCCAAACATTTGAGTTCACGCTTCCTGCCGACTGGCTGACACTTGACCGACTCATGACTGTTGTCTGGAGCACTAGAGAAGAATGCCGGGCCATCCGTGTGCAGAGCTTACTAACGCTGCTGCATGGTGCTCCCGAGGTATTTATCGCACTGGAAACGGATCGTCTCTGTGTGTTTGTATCGCTGGGGATGTTTGCACCTGGAAAGCACTAAAGTCAACTTTGCTTATAACGACACCCGGTGGGGCATCAGAAAAGTGTCTTTATTCGCGATGTGTCGTTATACCCGAAGTCCCATTATATGTATTACAGTTAGATGTAGATGGGACTTTGCTCTGGGCATGGAAATTCTGTCGTTATTCGCGAATTGTCGTTATATCCGCAGTCGTTATTAGCCAAGTTAACTGTATATACATCTACGTGGTGCTCTCCAGCCAAGCACAATCTTCCTCGGCCTACTCAAGCTCAACGTTTCGTGCATCCTCGCATGTTGTCCAGGCGTCAGGGGCCCAGCCTCCCTGCCCATCCGATCCACCACACACAGCAACGAAACTGAACTAAAGTTTTACACAATTGTTCGACAAGACGGAGACGGACAAACAAGAAGATCGGACACGACGAGGTAAACTGGAAACTGAAGAAAAAGACAAACATGGCAGAGTGTGAGCGTGCGCGCAAACAAAACATAATGCATGACAATGACGTAACCGTTCCATGGTGCATGCATAAACTGCATGTGCAACCAAAACAGTCCAACTGAGTGAAAAGGAGAACGGAAAACAAAACGAAATAAACCAAAGGACCACAACAAAAATGAGCCATGAAAAGTTTTTCTTTCCAGTAAAACCGATGCGCAACTCAACTCAACTGATGAGGAGTAAATTCTCGAAATATTGTGTATTGAGCAGGGGGGAGTGGAGCTTTCTTGCAGGTTTGCCGGGTAGACGGCCTGGCATTCTTCACGTGTGCCCCAGACGGCAGTCTTGGGTCAGTCAAGTGTGAGTTAGTCGGCAGGAAGCGCGAGCTGCAACATTTGGAGCAGCCACCTTCTTCTACAACTACCGCCAAAGTCGCAAAATCTCATTTCGAGAAAGCTTAACTACAGTCAACTTCGCTTATAACGACACTCAGCGGAGCATCAGAAAAGTGTCCTTATTCGCGAAGTCTCATCATGTGTATTATTACAGCTGGATAGGACTTAAAGTCACTTTGCTCTGGGCATGGAAATTCTGTCGTTATTCGCGAATTGTCGTTACATCCGCAGTCTTTATTAGCGAAGTTGACTGTACACAAAAATTCTAGAAACTTCACCGTTGTTCATAGAAGCGCACAGGACTGTATAGTTAGATGGGTATGCATGCACACATACGCATGTGCAAAAATAATTTTAGTTAAAATCTAGATCTACAGCCCTGTTCTATGCTAAGCAAAAAAATGCTACTCCAGGTCCAACAACTAGCTCCTTCTTTTCACATTCCCCGTCTTTTCTGTTTGGCAATTCAACAGCGCAAGCTAGCTGAATCGCAGTACACAGAACACCCATATTTTCCCTTGTGATCTGCGTGCCCTATATGCTCCGTACATGGCGCAAAGCCATGGCAAGGTACGCTTCCACTTACAAAGATGTGAGCAGTTAGTTCCGAGCTAGATTAAGTAAATCTGGAACATCATTCGCGTTTGGAATGCATCGTGGCGGACAATGAGTAGTGCTCTTGGCGAGTTTGGTCTCATTGTATTTCTGTCATCAGGAGCTTTCAAACGAATCCAAGATCTTCAACATCGGTAAAGTAGAACCAAAGTATGTTGGAAATTGAGTTTGAACTTTCAGACAAGAATCCGTGCTGTGCGAGTGGGCATTCGTGACAAGTGGACTGCTGACCGGGACAAGGACCTTTCGACATCCATTTCGTTGGAGTATCACAGATGCAAAGACGATCGCGCAGGGGTGAAGTGCTTAGATTCAAGTTTTGGGTGCGGTTCGCATAGAAAAGTTGTTCGTCCAAAACGTTCTCGGAGTCTTTCATGGTTGGGTGAGAAATTTGAAGACGTCACCTTTCACAGCCATACTTAGACTCGGGTGGAGAGCCAAGAAGTAATTTATAAGAAGAAGAGGAGCAAAGAGCTACAAGTCCTGCTATAATATCCACTAACACCACCAGTTAGGTGTAGGACGTCAGTACCCGCGTTGCTCAGTGCCATGCAACGTTATCGCATGAGCTCACTTATTGTAAACTAACTGGTTGTAAAATATTGGTTGTGAGCAACACTGGCTCACACTCAAATCACTGCTTTTCACCAGAAAAATATTTTGTATTTTTCTGGTGAAAAGCAGTGATTTGAGTGTGAGCTAGTGTTGCTCACAACCAATTTTTTACTTATGAAGCTGCGTGATGCGTCCTAAAAGATTTTAACTGGTTGTGTTAGTGGATAGTAGAGAGGTTCCGGGGTACGATTTTCCGTGCCAAAATCTGTATGGGCTCTACGGATTTTTTCGAGGCGTGCTCCATACGATTTTTCGGCACGGAGAATCCGTGTGGACTGGCTTTCATACGAACCATGTTTCGTATGGAGATTTTGCATCATCGGGTGCAGAAAGATTTTTTCGCGTACAAATTTGGTACGAGAAACATCGATTTTCGGCGGGTAGTTTTAATTTCGGTACAAATTTTCAAAATAAAAAGGCATGGCGCAGGAATGTGACGTGTTTGCGATCGTCACCTAGGCAATGACGGCAAACACATAAGTTCCGTACTCCGGAACATTTCACTGCTCGAAAACGACGTATAAAAAATCCGTAGCGCCTCTACGGATTTTGGCACGAAAAATCGTACTCCGGAACCTCTCTATTGTAGCGTACCTTGTACCTCTTGGGCCCTCTTTTTCAAAGCCATGTGTGGCAAAATGGTATATGCTGGCATGTCTGACCAATTGAAGAAGTGTCAGGACATTATGGCAGAACAACCATGATTTCTTATCGCATGGCCTGTAATTTACAGTAAAGTTTACTATTTAAAAAAAAGTTCACTCACAACATGGGCTTTCAGCATGTCGTCATAACGTTTCTACAAGAGATAAAGCAGGGTTATACAGAGCAGAAGAGAAAAACCGAAAAAACACTCAGTCAGGGGCATAGTGTGGTCACGTGATCAGTCATGTGTGACAATAGCCAGTTGGTTACGCAATGACTGACCACCCACATACACACACAAACACATACACGCACGCGTGCGCGCACACGCACACACGCATACACACACACACACACACCCACACACACACACACACACACACACATACATACATACACACACACGCGCACACGCACACCTACATATACACACACATACATACATACACACACACGCACACCTACATATACACACACACACACATGTATGTATGGGCGTGCAGTTGTGCACACACTCGAACGCATGTGCACATGCACGCATGCACATGCACTTGCACACACACGTACACACATCCGAAGGCAGCTCAGGGCCTCTCTACGTGTTTCACCTTCAAAGTACATACATGTTATTCAAACTGATAGAAATGTCTTTGGGATATAAATGTGGGATGCAGCAGTGCCTATTCGGTTCCTATTTTAGCCCTGCATTCCCATAGCAGTCCTGTCTTATGTCAATGTCAAAACCCATTCCCTCTCCATTATATTCGTAGGGATGTGCATAGGTTTTTCTCCTGGTGAAAAATAATAGTTTATTGGTAAGATTTTGAATTGCTTGGGAGAACTCCCCGACTGATCCTTTGAATTATTGGTAAGCCAACATACTTTGTGTACACCCACTGTCCAATGTAATCTACTTTTGTTGCAGCTGACAAAATCACGTATAATTCTTCCGATTCAGATCTCTTTATAAAGAAGTTGCTGGCTAGTACACTAGAGCTCACACTTTCCCACCGGCTTGACTTGCCACGGTTTCCCACCGGCTTGACTTGACACTTGACTAACTCAGGACTTCCAACCAGAGCACACAAGAAGTCCATCGAACCTTCCTTCACTATTTCGTTTGCCTGCCTGCCTGCCTGCCTGCCTGCCTGTATGTGTGTCTGTCTATGTGTGTCTGTCTGTTTATCTGTTCATCTGTCTATCTCCCTTTCCTTCTCTTTCTCTTTCTTTCTCTCTCTTCCTCTCCCCCCCCCCCCCTCTCTCTCTCTCTCTCCATCGATCTATCTATCTATCTATCTATCTCACACACACACACACACTCTCACACACACACACACACACACACACACACACACACACACGCACACACACACACACACACACAAACACACACAAACACACACACATACACTCTCTCTCACACACTCACACACACACACACACACACACACACACACACACACACACACACACACACACACACACAACACGCACACACACACACACACACACACACTCTCTCTCTCTCTCTTTCTCACACACACACACACAAACACACACACACACACACTCTCTCTCTCTCTCTCACACACACACACACACACACACACACACACACACACACACACACACACACACACTACTACTATGTACAACTGCCACAAAATGGCCACGTCGCTCCCAGAAGCGGGAGACAACAGCGAGAAAAAAGAAACAAGGAGAATAATTGAGGTGAAAGGGGACCGTTCTACACATAGCTAGTGTTTCTGTCTTCGGTGGCGGGTGAGGTCCTGCGGGCGGGAGAATCGTTCGTTACATATGCTGCATTGAATGGGCAGATTAGTCCTCTGGTCCTTTCGCAGTCGTTTGCCTCGAGTACAATTATGGCGGTTAAAACCAGCCTGACTCTTCATGCAGCGATCACAGATCGAGCAATGGTGCTGGCAGCAGTCCAAATTCAGGCTGCATCTCGTTGAAACAGCTGGTATTTCGTCCGATGTCTGACGCTCCACACAACGATGAACTGCAAAACCGCCAGCGCTTTGAAACCAGCGGTCACAAACTCCACAGTGACGGGCCCCAGGCTGCTGGGCAACAGGTAAGGACCGTACAGCTGAGCACTTGTGACGGTGAATCCCACGAGCAGTGAATGATCGGTTGCAAACCTTGCAGGTGACTTTGTTGTTGTTACACTCCACGAGATCATCCGGAGTCTTTGCAATTGCCACACACACACACACACACACACACACACACACACACACACATACAAACACACACACACACACTCTCTCTCTCTTGTTTTCTTTCTCATCTTGTCCAATGTCATCTTAACACTCACTCTACCCATGCCTGTTTTTTGCACATTTAGCTGGGCTGATGCTTAATCATGTGTCATGGTTGAGCTGTCCTGTGGCACTCCAATCACGTGAGTACACACCTACCTCACACAACTACAAAACAAGAAAGCTAGCTCAGGACCCATTGCTTTGATTGTCCAGCATCATGACCATTTTCCTGAGGTAGCTGGGCTGTAAAAACAGTCATCCTTTTCGACATTCTCCTTGTCCACTACGTTCCTCCACGTATTTTCGTTTGGAGCCAGCTAACTAGAGTGAAATGTTTTCCTTTTTTCTGTCTCTCTTTCATCGTCAACCCCACCTGCATTTCCCATAACAGCTTTGTATTGGGCAGGGAGTGGTGCTTTCTTGCAGGTTTGCCAAGTCGAAGGTGCAACGTGCTCCTCTTTCATTTTCAAGTTCAACTGCCGGCTTGATGCGAGATTTCCCAGATACTACACTACGGTAAAAGTCATTATTTTAACGAGGCACACAATACAGTCAACTTCGCTGATGACGACACTCGGCGGGGCGTCAGAAAAGTGTCCTTATTCGCGAAGTGTCCTTATACCCGAAGTCTCATTTTAATATGTATTACAGTAAGATGGGACTTTGCTCTGGGCATGGAAATTCTGTCGTTATTTGCGAATTGTCGTTATTTGCCCGCAGTCGTTATTAGCGAAGTTGACTGTATACCGATTTCCCAAAATTGACGCGTTTACGTGTACCAAAGGTACCGATTCTCACTCATTCTCAACGCTCAATAGGACGACAGTATATGTATCGATTTCTGTGTAACGATTTCTATTTCATCCACAGATTTCTCCGCATTAACTCGTTAGATTAAAGGGGAAGTGCATCGATTTTTCGAGTAGGGTCCAGAAGAAAGACAATTTGATATCGGCTCGAATGGCATATCTCTCGCTTCCATACGATAAGCCAAACTTGCCAAATCGCCAATTGTATGCTCACGTTGCCATAGCGACCAGCAGAGTGATGACGTACGAAAGGCTTAGCTCCTCCACAGAGAAGGTCGATCACTGCAGAAATTGGTCATTTTCAATTGTCTTATTGTATTCACGATGTGAAAGAAGTGCTGTGTTCAATGCTGTTAGTGCCGTGAACTATTTGTCGCCCTTCTCATGCATTTCCCTAGGCTGACTGTGCCTAGGAAATGGTTTCCTCCAGGAAAAGATGCTTGGAATTCGCCGTCTCTCCTGAGACATTTTCAGCAAACTTTCAAACCTACGACATTATTTCATTCGTCAATCTCCACCACCCGCCGTCTCACCTGGCTTCAGAAGATGTTACGAGAGATAGGAGAGTGGCCAGGAAGCATCACATTCATCTTCAGGAAGTGGAAAGAGCAAACGGCATGGTCCTTGGTTGGGGGAAATGCTGAACGTCTGATTTGTCCCAACCAAGATCTCAGCATTTTGTTCGTCACTATTTTCGCTTGTCTGCTGGTGTCTCCGCGCTCCAGCTTTCTCCTGTCGGTGTCACGTCCCAGTACACAACCGAGAGGACTACTAACAAACAGTTCACTGCACTTACAGCATTGAACACAGCCCTTCTTTCACTTCGTGAATACAATAAACCAATTGAAAATGACCAAATTCTGCAGTGATCGACCTTCTCTGTGGTGGAGCTAAGCCTTTCGTACGTCATCACTGCGCTGGTCGCTATGGCAACGTGAGTATACAATTGGCGATTTGGCAAGTTTGGCTTATCGTATGGAAGCGAGAGATATGCCATTCGAACCGATATCAAATTGTCATTCTTCTGGACCATACTCGAAAAATCGATGCACTTCCCCTTTAAAGGGGAAGTATACCCTAAAATCAAATTTTCACCAGTTGTAGTCTTCTGGGTGCTGAGTCGAATGGTCTTGGTCCGAGAAAGCTGCGACGCTCCCTTCCTACTTGAATCCCAATCGAACTCGCGCACTTCCACCGAAACTGGGTGACTGCGCCCTACTAGATGGGGATTTGTATGCAAAATGTCACTAAAAGCGCCATTTCGTTCTTATAAAAGCACGGATGACCGCGATTGGCCCATATGTTGTAGTCTTTTGGACGCTGAGTCGACTGGTTTTGGTCCGAAAAGGCTGCGATGCAGCGTTCCTCCTTTATTCCCAATCGAACATGGTTGAACAAGTGGTCACGTGCTCCTGCGTACACCAGTCACCTGGTCACCGTGCCTGCAGGGTACAACTTACTAGCCTGTTTGACCTTTTTTGGGTGCAGTCCTGTCACTCGAGTTGAACTCGAGTTGAACCTTGGTGTGAAAGTTGTCGCCTGCTGGCGCGGTGACCAGGTGATTTGGGCACCCAGGAGCACGTGACCGCTTGTTCAACCATGTTCGATTGGGAATAAAGGAGGAACGCTGCATCGCAGCCTTTTCGGACCAAAACCAGTCGACTCAGCGTCCAAAAGACTACAACATATGGGCCAATCGCGGTCATCCGTGCTTTTATAAGAACGAAATGGCGCTTTTAGTGACATTTTGCATACAAATCCCCATCTAGTAGGGCGCAGTCACCCAGTTTCGGTGGAAGTGTGCGAGTTCGATTGGGATTCAAGTAGGAAGGGAGCGTCTCAGCTTCCTCGGACCACGACCATTCGACTCAGCACTCCGAAGACTACAACTGGTGAAATTTTGATTTTTGCCTTACTTCCCCTTTAAGCACTTCGTCATGTACCGTAAAGTCGCGGATACAAGCCGGGCTTATCAGCACACAAGCCGCTTTCTGCATCAGGCTTTAATGCAAACCAGGCTTGTATGCAAACCATGCTTATATGCACCACTGATATTT